GACATCATGGATCTAGGCCACATCCATTTAGGGATGACTTGTTTTCTGCTCTGCTGTAAGGATATAATTTAATTTTAATATAATTTAAAATAATTGGATACTTACCTGTGCATTCACCTAGAAACTAAAAAGCCTTTAAAGTCAGGACTTCACAGAAACTAAAGAAACCACACTAAGTCCGGGGGACTATCATCAACCACTCACAATCCAGCAAATGCAACCACAGTTCTTGAGGGCTCTTCTCCCCACACACTGGGAGCTGAATGAGGTGGTCTGGTCCCACCTCCCTTCTCCTTTCTGGTGCGTCAGCCAGAACACAGACCCTTTGCGTTTTAAGGATTTTACTTCTAATCATCATGATTAGATTAAAAACTAATCTGCTAGAGTTAACAAAGTTTCCAGAATCGTGAAAAACAAGTACACTATTGCGTTGGTTTCATAAATAAGCCCAGATAAATTTCTGTTCTCTCTCTCTCTCTCTATATATATATATATATATGTGCATGACTGGGACATTGTGCTGTACACCAGAAACTGACACACTGTAACTGACTGCACTTCAATAAAAACATTTTTTTTAATTTTAAAAAAAGAAAAAGAAAATCACTTGTAGTTGTAATTCAGAATACCATATAGTTGATTCCCTGGTATTTATTAATAAATTATTTGGAAGTAAAAAAAATGTGTTTTCTGTTTTTACGTCAGAAAGTGGAGTTCATCAAACCTCGCTTCCTTCTGTTCCAGGCTTTCTGGAGATCAGGACAGAGCTTTTCTTTCCTTCTCTTAGGGCAGTAGATTTCACTGAGATTTCAAGTGATTGTTCTTCTAAAATGTGCAAAAAAAAAAAAAATTCTGTCTTTCCCAGACACTTGACAGCATGCTGGATGGGTCGCAGAAGCCCAGCCGACCGTATTTGTTGACGGGTAGATAGAAAATTGCCCAGGCAGACGTCACTTTTGGAGTCTCCTTAGTACAGACTGGAGGACTTGTTGCTTTGTTTGGAGGTTGCCCTGAGTAGCCACCCTCTGGGGTTCCCCATCTGCAGCATGTTGGTAGGAAACAACATTCTTTAGCAGCCTTGATGCAACTGGCAGGGCAATGGCCACAGCCTGCCTTTGTCAACAGGAGGCAGAGGCATTAGCCGTATTGTTTGTGGATGTTGGCAGAAATGTGGTCCTGCTCTGTGTTCCTTTGGAACAAAACGAGGTTGAATCCCTTTTGTTGGGATGGATAAGGCAGTGTATTGAGCTCCGTGGAAAACGGACAGGAGGACGCTGACAGATGGGGAAAGGGTCACCCCTACGGCAGGAGGTCAGCCTGGAAGTGGGTACTATAGCAACCCACTGAGAATTATACTGTGAATTAAGGGATGCTTGGATTCACCGGGTCTGCCCAGGCAGGGAACCTGGCTGGGTCTTTGTCGGCTAACAGACCAGAGGCTGGTTTGCAGCTGTGTAATTTGACAGTTTGGTTGTGTTCAGACAGCTCTGTGTTGTGGAGATGACATTGCTCCTGAGTCTCCCTGCATGTATGCATGTAAACCAGTGGCACATCAAGGAGGTGGGCAGTGGTACTATCCATCCACTCTGGGTGCAGACAGTAAACGGTCAATTTCTCTGTGTGTGTGTGCCTGTAGGGAATTTTAAAAGAATAATAAAACTGACTAAAAGTCATTTTTTATTATTATTTTCATGCTCCAACAGTTACAAACAATGTGCAATAACAATAAAATACCCCTCCCTTGTAGGGGCAGACTTCTCCCACACCCCCTCCCCCACCCTTAACATGGAATAAACAAGCACCAGGTGGGAAGATTACACTCAGCAAGAGAGTAAACAGAAAGCAAATAACTCCTAAGATTTTTAAAAAGTATCCCCAAAACTCTGCTTTGTGGAGGTTAGAGAAGGTTGATCTGTTTGTTCTGGGCCTTTCTCTTATTTAGCTTTGTGTTTCGGTTACCTGTTGCTGCTTTTAAACCCACCCCAACATTTAGTGCCTTAAATCAACAATCATTATTTGCTTACGATTCTGCCACTTTGACAGGGCTCAGTGAGGATGGTTCATCTCTGTCCCATGTGGTGTCTGCTGGGCTTGGACCTTCCTAGAGGGCTTCTTCAGGCTGGTACCTCAGCTGAAGTAAGCCCAACATCCTGGGGCTGGCCAAGCATCTCTCCTTCCATGTGGCCTCTCCACATACCTTGGACTTCCTCACAGCATGGTGGTCTCCTCTTAAGTGGTGGCTGGCCTTCCCCAGAGTACGAAGCAGAAGCTGTCAGGCTTGCTTAACATGTGGTCTTCGAAGACCTAGAACATTATTTCTGCCACATTCTGTTGGTCAAAGCAGTCAAAGGGCCAGCTCAGGTTCAAAAGGAAGAATAAACAGACTTCACTACATCATGAAGGAGATATTTCACACTGTTTTCACTATCATGACAAGGTATTGTATGCTTTCACACTTGGCCTTCAATGGTGATAAATCTTATCAAGTTTGGAAAAGGTAGGTCTCAATGTGACCTTTCAAAAATTAGACACAAAATTATCATTATGCCTTGGTCCTGAGGGGGAAGACAGCCTCTTCATGAATTCCTAAGAAGAAACAGATTATGGGGCCCCTAACACAGTAATGACATCTGAGAGAAAACAGGAGATGAGCCTGATTCTGTGAGATTGTCCAGTCTACAAGGTACACACTTGGTCTACCTCCTAAGAAAAAGTCAAACGGTCTCTGTATTTTGGCTGTTACTCCTGGGTGTGTGTCAGACAATCCCTGCACTTTGATTTACACCCTTTAAAACCGGTATTGTTAGCAGCAGACTGACCACAGGATACTTCTGAGGGCCAGAATGTGAATCTTTCATATACTGTAATGTATGATACACTTGTCAGGGCTGCGATAAATTTCATCTTAGGCCAGAGAACTGCATCTCAGTCCAAAGAGCCACATAAGAGTGGCGATACATCCAAATGACTCCCTTGCCTTCGCCAGACAGCTACTTCGTCTATACCTGTCCAGAGCTTTGGTTTGGAAACATTTTAAAGCCCACTGTCTTATGTGCCGCTCACTATAAGTACCCGGGTCGGTAGGTAGGCCCCGTGTGAATGCCCCCACTATGCACTACGTGTACAGAAGAGAGGTCATAACCTCCCTCGGTCACACGAGAGCTCGGAAGCAGAGCCTGGGGAAGACGCAGCTCTCCTGTATCTCCTTCCTCCAGGGTTTTCCTGGGCTGCTGGAGCAGAGGGTCCCCCAGGCTCCTGACTTCCTCGCTTCAGGTCTAGAGAGACGGCCTTTTCTGCCTCGCCGGCCTGTAGGTGGAATGCTGAGCCCGTGGGACCGTTCAGTCAGCTCCCAGGTCAGCTCCCACAGCGAGGTGCGCCCTGGCTCCTTGTTTTAAAAAGGACGTTGGGTGGACGGCATCCCTGTATCTGGAGCCCAGACTTTTCCTCCCAAGAAGGTCAGGAAGTTAAGCGGGCCTGCCTTACAGCACCTCGTCTATGGTTTTACCCCTGCATTGGCCTGAATGGGCCTCTCGGGGTCTTTGGCCTCCATCACTCTCAATGCCCTTAATTTTCATCGCACAGCAAAAAACGGCTTTGTGTCTCTTTGTACCCCAAACCCTGGGCCCCGAATTAGGCCAAAGGGACACCTGGGGTCAGGGCTTTTCCTCTCGCCGCTCCTGGTCCAGTTCGTCCTCACACTCCTGGGGGTTCCCATTTCTGCTCGCCCCCAGCCTTCCTCTCGCCACTTGCCCCAGTCCCCCCACTCCCGCCCCCACTCCCGCCCCCGCCCTCCCCGCCTTCCGTTCGCCTCTCTTCTCTCCGCTTTGTTGCCCGGGCTTGTTTCTAACTCGAGAGCGTCGCCCGGCTCGGCGCCAGGTCACGTGCGTTAGT